GAACTAAGAAGCACGCTGGTGATGCCCCTGGCCCCAGAGGATTCCAGGCAGAGTCCCAACCTTCTCCCCGTATTGGGGTCGGGCGTGCCCTTGTCAGTGTCCCCTTCTCTACCAGGCAGCAGGTGGACCCAAGCAGCTCGAGTTCCTAATTTCATGGAGCTGAGGCCCTGTTCCGGCAGGGTTGTTGGGGTGGTTTTATGGGGCAGAGCGGAGCGCATCCCTCCTGGTGCACCGCAGTGTCCTGCTCCGGGAGGCTCCAACCTGGCTGCTGCCCCACTGGCGCCTCCAGCTCCGTCCCTGGGTAGGCAGGAGGGGGAGGGTGCCAGGGATCCCTCACAGCGGGGGCACAGGGGCAGAAAGAGGGCTCGTGTGCACATGCCAGCCTCTGGAGCCAGGCAGGGCGCCCACGCGTCCCTTCTGCCCCACCAGACCAACACTGCTGGGGTCACTAAGGCCAGCCTGCCAGTCTTCTGTCGATGGTGCCCCATGCCCTGTCCGGCAGGCTGCCCACTGCGCCCTGGTTCTCCTGCCAGACCTGCAGCCCTCACTGTACCCTGAGCCAGTCGGGCCCTCTACACCCCTGACTTCCCTCCCCTTCTGGCCTGGAGGCCCAGTTCCTTCCTGCCTCCTCCAGGCTCTTCCCAGGGTGCTGTCTCCTAGGTCCTGGGGTGGCTCCCAACTCCATCCCTCTGCTCACAGCGCAGAGCCTGGCACTGTGAGTCTTGTCCTGGTAAATTCAGAACAGAAGTCTTAAAGAACACATGGCCGTACCAGGGATGGGCAGAGCCAACCTGGGCTCTGGGCAGTTTCTTGCCATCTGCCAAGCAGCTTCACATACACAGCAGCCCTGTGAACTCAAGTCAGTGTCCCCCACATCGAAGGGCAGAGCCCAGGCTCTGGGCCAGGCTGTCACTCTCACAGTCCAGGGGTTCGGTCCATGGTCGCAGGCTTCGAGGCAGGAACATCATGGCGGAAGGGCCTAGTGGAGGAAGCTGCTCACATCACGGCTGCCAGGAGGCAGAGAAGGAGTAGCTGGGGACAAGGACACTCCCTTCGGGTCACACCTCATGACCGCCTCACCCAGCCCCGCCCCTACAGCAGTCAGCCTTGAGCCCTGTGGTCCACCCCCTCCCAAAGCCCTGCCTGTGAGCACAGGAGGCTTTAGGGCATCCAGAGAGAAACCACGATGGAAACCAACCCTGCTTCTTCCTGACCCCAGACTTCAGCCTCCAGCACTGCCAGACCACAAAGGTCTGCTGGCCACCCCTGCATTTAGCTCAATGCAGTGCTCCCCGCCAAGTCGCTCTCTAAGACGGAGAGATGCCAGAGACGCCAACACAGGTGAAGGGAGGAAGAGACCAGATCTGGCCTGGCCCAAGGCAGGGGGAGGCCAGGAGACTCCCAGAAGGCCCGGGGGCTCATGTGACAAGGGCAACAGGGCTCCCCAGAGTCATCGAGAGGACACTGCTACGGAGGAGCTCAGGGGTGGGGCCATCCCGATGGCACTGGCAGGCCAGGACACAGGAGACCGCGCCCAGGGGCCAGCAGGCCTGCAGAAGCAAGGCGTGCACTCACTGTCACCATGGCGAGGTCCAGACGGCAGCAGGACCCCGGAGAAGGTTAACAGAAAGCCCGGGGCCAAAAGAGGTGGACAGTGGGGTGGGGGACACGTGAGGGCAGGTGAGTCAGGAGCCAGAGCAACCACCCCATCAAAGCCCCGACCCGCCCTGCTCCGGACCTAAGCCGCTCCTCAGTGTGCGCACACGCTCTGCCCTGACCACATGCACTCTGTCACCGCCAGCGTCCACGGTGAGGGGTCACAGCCCCTGGCCTGTGCTCCAGCTCTCGGTCTGTCTTGAGGCTGCAGCTGGGACGTCACTGGACAGCTGGGGCCAAGCTGAGTACCCACCTGGTCAGGATGGTCAGCACTGCTCTCCAGGCTCGTGGGGAGCCCAGTGGGTTGGCTGGTGCCCCCAGGATCCGCCAAGGTCGCAGGACCAAAGGATGCAAGGAGTGGGGAGGTCCTCCCTCCACACCCCGTGCACCCTGCAGGGGAGGCTGTGGCTTCCTCAGAGGGACGCTGCCACCAGGGGCTGGCCACCGCTGCCACTGGTCACTGTGGGCTCCTCGTGTCAAGAGACCAGCAGGCACAGGGAGGCATCACCAGCCTGGCAGGGGTGAGGGGCCTGGACCCTGAGGCGGCAGGGCCGCCGTCACACGTGGAAGCAGGGACCATGAGGCTGGCACCCCTGGGTGACTCTGGGTACTTCCTGGCCTGACTGGGACAGTAAGTGGCAAGCATGTGACCTCCAGAACTAAACATTAACTCAGTGCAAGGGAAGTTGGTTAGGAGTTTGCCGATTTCTGGGTTAAACTGTGAAGTTAGTGGAATGGGCAAGGCTGTGGCCCGTGATACACTCTTCCAGATCAACCCACTGGCTTAACACAAGAAAGCTTATTTCTTGCTGGGCACGTCAGTAATCCTAGCACTCAGGAGCCTGCGGCAGGAGGATCCCTGCAAATCAGAGGCCAGCCTGGACTACATAGTGAGTTCAAGGCCAGCCTGGAGTACATAGCAAGCCCCTGTCTCAAAACAAACAAAACAGGGCCGGACATTTAGCTCAGTGCTGCCGCTGCCTGCCTTGCAAGCCCAAGGTCCCGAGTTGGATCCCTGGTACAAAAAAAAAAAAACTACTTGTTTGGGCCAGGGATTTAGCTCAGTGGTTTTGCAACCTGCTGTGCAAGTTCAAGGACCCGAGTTCGATCCCCAGTACCCAAAAAAAAAAGAGTCTCAAAAAACAAACAAAACAAAACAAAAAAATAAATAAAGCTTATTTCTCCCCCACGTCATGGTTATCGGGAGCTCACTCCCTGGGCAGTGGGTCCGGGTTAGGGACAGGGCCTGGGCAGCATCCACCCTGCACACACCCTATTGGCCAGCCCTGGTCAAGCGGCCATGGTGGTGCAGAGGAGGCTGGGAAGTGCGGTCCACCCCTGAGCCGGGCGGGCCATGAACACAGGGATGAGTCGGCCCTGTCCACATCAGCCCTGGCCGTGGGCCATTCAAAGCCACTGCTCCGTCCTGTGCAGGTGCCCATCGGGGCCCTGGCACTTGGGCCTCTCCTAGGCAGCTGGACACCAAGGCTGTGGGCATCGTTGCCCCAGGGTACCCCCAGGGGGAGAGTTTCACACTTCCTGTCACCTGCTCGCTGTCTGTCTCACGCTTCCTGTCACCGCTCCCTGGTGTCCTCCGTAGGGAGCCCGAGAGTGAGACGCCTGCCTCAGTCCCCATCTCCGCCCCAGGTCCCCAAGTCCAGTTCTCGTTTCATTTTCTTTTGTTAACTTTCATGAGCACATGCCTGCAGAAAATGATGCTGGGCTGCCACGAGGGAGTCGGTGCCTGCATACAACCATTTCAGTTCTTTCTACGTCCCCTCCCTGCCCTGTGCCTATTCACCTTCACCAGCAAGCTGCAGGACCTCAGTCAGACCAGTCCCGCGCTATCCGGAAAAGCTAGTTTCAATCCCTAACAGAGAACACACGATCCCGGGTGACCAGCCCCCACACACATCGGGGTCCGCGGGAGGGCGCAGGGTGTCAGGGAGCCCGTCCGGAAGCGGGGCGGAGGCGGATGCGCAGGCCGGCACAGCAGCAGAGCGGAGCCATGAGGAGGCCTGGGGCGGCTTTGAGCGGGGACGCCCTGAGGCGGCGCACGGGGTGGCTCCAGGAGGCGGGGCCGCCGGCCACGCGGACGCTGGCGACGGGGCGGGGCCACACCCGGAAGTCGAGTCGAGCATGGGCCTTTTGCGCTGGCTGCCGCTGCTTCTCGGGCCCCTGCTCTTGCGGGGGTCCCGGGCCGCGGGCCCCATCCGGGCCTTTGTGGTGCCGCACAGCCACATGGACGTGGGCTGGGTCTACACCGTGCAGGTGGGCGCCGGGCTCCGGCCCCGCGGTGCCGAGTGGGGGACCCTCCAGTCTCCGAACCTCGTTCTACCCCCGGCCGCAGGACAGTGCGCGGGCTGGATGGGGTGGGGCCCCCTGTGGGGCTGACGGGGGAACCCAGTTCCCAAGGTGGCAGCGGGTGACGGGAGTCCCCGCCTCCCCTCCCTAGGACAGGTTTTGGGTCAGCTCGTGATTCTACCCAAGACCTTGGCGAGGGGCTTTGCTCCCCGAGCCTCAGTTTCCCCATCAGGACGCCCTACCCAGCTGTACCCAGGGCGCCTGGGTGGCCTGGAAGTGGTCGAAGTGGGACTCAGCCCAGCCGGGGCTCAAAATTTCAGGGATCCTCCTGCCTCAGCCTCCCGAGTGCTGATTACTGGCGTGCCCACCAGACCCGGCTAGGTAGTATGTTAAAGAAAGGGCCAGGCAGAGGACTTGGTGCCGAGTGTTGAGTCCGTCCTGGGTGCTCTGGCAGGCTGTGGGGAGCCCCACCTGCGTGGAGACCCCCGAACACTAAGGGAGTGTGCTGTGCCCGCCACTCACAGCTCCCGGAAAAAGGTCTGTGCCCTACCTGCGGTCGCTGGGCCCAGGCCCTCGCTCCTGCTCTTTCCACTCCGTCACCAGTGCTCTCCCCAGGCTGCAGGGCGGGAAGCCGGGGCCTGTGAGCCCAGCAGGGATGGAGCGAGGGGACAGTGGCAGGCCCTCAGGGACCACCCAGGCCACCGCCTCGTCGCCCTTTGTTTCCGCCAGAATGCGCCCCGCAGGGGTCGCCAGCCGCACCCCTCTGCCCCGGGACTTCCTGTGCTGCCCATAGGACCCGTGGGTGGGACCAGCTTTTGAACCCCTCCCACGCGGCCCCTGACCTCGAAGGTCGGCACCCCCTGGCCCGCAGGTGTCACAGCAAGCTCATCTGAGGGCCGCCAACGGGGTAGGACAGCAGGAGATAGGCCCCACTCAGTGCACCCTGAGGACAGCCGGGGGGGGGGGGACCCCGGATCTCTGGGCCTCCTGTTCCCCGGGCGGGCGCCCTCCAGCACTGGTGTGCCCTGTCCCCTCCCCAGGAGAGCATGCGGGCCTATGCAGCCAACGTCTACACGACTGTGGTGAAAGAGCTGGCACTCGGCCAGCAGCGGCGGTTCATCGCGGTAGAACAGGAGTTCTTCCGGCTGTGGTGGGACCGCGTCGCCTCGGAGCAGCAGAAACAGCAGGTATGGGTCCCTGGGCACAGGCCGGGGACACACGGGTCCGGCCATCGCCAGGCTGCGCCAGCTTAACCCTCCAGCCAGACCCCCAGGCTTGTGCGATGTGTGTGTGACCAGCACCACAGCCGCCGGGGTGGTGACGCCGTCCTCTGCCAGGAGGCCCTGTCCCCCTCTGCATTGCCCACCTGGGCCCCGGGCACAGGGCCTGGTGGCCTTGGTGAGGTCGTAGGCAGATGGTTCAGGAGCCCAGCAGCTCTCCATGGTGTGGAGTCCCTCGTCCCGCCTCTGTTACCAAGGCTGCGCCTGTGAGCCAAGGGCTCCACTTCTGTCAAAGAGGGAGAAGTCACACCGCTGAGATCGAAGCCATAAACACCTGGAGCCAGGAAAGCTCGGGACCCGTTTCCTCCCCAGCGTGCAGTCTTTCTGAACATGAAATTTGGAGAGGTTGAGTGACTTCCTCAAGGTGGCAAAGCTAAGGCAGCGGCAGAGTGCAGGTCCCACCAGGGAGGGGACAGAGTCAGAACCGAAGGGCCATGGTCCCCTGCCCAGTGCCGGGCTGTGGGGATTGATGCGAAGCTCACAGAGCCAGGCCGGGGGCAGAGAGGGCAGAGAGCTTATGAGTGACAAGGGTCTGAGCCCTGTGCCTCTCCGGGGATGTTGGCTGGTGGTCCACACCCTGCCGGTGGTTTGGTGGTTTGTCCCCTCCCGAGGGAGGCACGGGTTATTCAGGAGTACTTGTCAGCTAATGCTGAGACAAACCCAAATTGAGCTCTCTCTGATCAAAGGACGCAAAGCAGAAATGCGGATTCTGGGCCCAAGGTGGAGCTTGTACCAGGGAGAGGAACAGCTGGGGAAGTGCATGTGAAGCCCGAGGGTCAGGCAGGCCTGGAGCCTGGGTTAAGTTCCTGACTGAGCCTTTTGTGGCTGTGATTCTCCAGCACAGAGGTGTTCACGGCAAAAGGCTTATGTGTCGCTAACTTACTTCACCTGGCTTAGAAAAGCATCACAAGTGTACAGATGGGGTCTGAAGGTAAACATGAGGAAAGCTCACAGTATGTGGATCTAGGGCAGGGACAGACGGCAGCTCTAGTCCTGCAACTTCCTGGTAAATTTGAAATCATTTCAGAATCGTAAATGCAGGTATCCCCAGTACCAGCGTGGGCCCAGCATTTTTGGGCTGGTGGCAATGTTGACAGTCTGCCCTGCTTGTGGAGTAAGCCAGGCTGGAGGCTCGTGGGGGCTGCAGCCCCAGGCGGGTCGCGTAACCTGGCCGCCTTCTCTCTGCCACCCTCACCGAGGTCCGACGGCTCCTGGACCAGGGCCGCCTGGAGTTCGTGCTCGGAGGCCAGGTCATGCACGACGAGGCTGTGACCCACCTTGACGACCAGATCCTACAGCTCACAGGTTTGCCACCCTGCCTGGCCCCTGGGGCCTGCAGTGGGCCAGGAGTGGGGATCTCGGGGGCCATGCCTGTGCCTGGGTGAGGGAGGTGAGTGGACGCTCAGGATCCCATCCCTGTGAGCCTCGCTGTGCCTCAGTTTCCTCACAATGATACCTACCTCAGAGGTCATCTGGAGGATTACACTGAGCCAGTTCAAATAAAGAACTTTTAGTAGAATGTGTCGTTCCCTCGTAAACACTCAGGAAATGTTACCACCGCCACCGCCTAGCCCCAGCCTTGCAGGCTGAGGCGCGGTGACTCAGTCCCATTCTACAGCTGTAGAAACTGAGACCCACAGAAACAAAGTGACTCTCAAGGGCTGACAAGCAGGACTTGAATCCAGGCCTGGTGACAGACGCTCCACAGTGCACGTTCACTCCGCTTGGCACAGGCCCAGGGCTCCCTCGGGCATGGCCTAGGCTGGCGCCAGCCCCTCTCCCACCCTGTGGTCCAGGGGTCTCCCCGCCCCTCGGCCTCAGGTCTGGGCTCAGGCACCCCGGGCTCTCTGTGTGGGCTGGAAGGCAGTGTAGACACAGCCCCCTGTGTGGCTTCTGCAGACAGCGCTGGCGTCCCGCACGTCCCAGGGCTGGGCCTGAGGCCCAATCAACAGAGGCAGGCGGGCAGGAAGCAGCTGGAGAGGAAGTCGCCCTGTGCCCAGCCTCCTGTCCCCACTGCCGCACCCACTCCCCTGGCCTTGTTCTGTCCTGGGCATCTCCTCTGGTCCCCACCTCGGAGGATGCTGCTCTAGGAACCTGCTCTCGCCCCAGGGGTCTGAGGGCCACTGGGCCGGGTTCTGTGTCTCCTCCGCCAAGGACGCCCTGGCCCATCCCTCCTTCCCGCCCCATCTTGCCCCCTGGGCACCAATGCCCAGCTTCATTCGGATGTGCTATTTCTAGCTGGGGATGGGTCCGTTCCTGGCACCTCCATGATTAGAAGCGGGCTGTGGACAGGGCCACTGGGACAGGAGCTTTTGTCCCCTGCCCTGCAGGCAGCTTCCCAGAGTCCTGGGAGAGCAGCGGGAGTCCCCGTCCTTGTCCCCGTCCTGAGCCGGCCTGAGGCTGGCCACCTGCCGCCAGCATGAAGAGAGGGAGAGGTCCAGGCAGGGGCGAAGGGGACTCCTTGCACTGTCCCCGTGGCCACTGCCCCCCTGTTCTGAAACCCAAGTCTGCCCATCCCCACGCCCGCCTGCCCTGCCAGGGCCCTCTGACCTGCCTCAGACCTCTGCAGTAGTCTCCGGAGCATGCTGAGGAGGGGAGCGGGGCCCTGTAGCTCAGGCGCAGCTACATGCTTAATGTCCCTGTCTCCCGCCCCTCACCCCTTCCCTTGCCCACGGCAAGGACCTCTTCACTCGGTCACCTCAAGTTAGGCACTGGTTCCGCTGCTGTGGCCAAGCCCAGAAGGCTGTAGCTCCAGCTAGGGGGATCCATTCCTCCCGCAGGAGCCCGAAGCGGCTGTGCCCCAGGGGTGATCCCCAGTCTGGGGTGATCCCCAGTCTGGGCTGCTTCCAGCTTGTTGCTCTGTCACACAGCAAAGCTGCCTCGCCCTCTGAGTTGTCACTCTGGCAGGTCCAGAGTGGAGAGAGGGCAGGTGTCTTTCTTGAGAAGGGGACCCAATCTCTTCTGCTCCTGTTTCTATTGGCCAGAATTTAGTCTCCAGCTTCCCATGGCCTCTACTGGGGCTTTCCAGCAGAGCAAGCTGGGAAATGTAGTCCACCACTTCTGGACATATCCTATTGGTTGGGTGTTAATCACATGGCTTCATCTGCTGCAGAGGAGACTGGGAGGTGTAGTCCATGGTTTCTGGACATATCCTGTTGGCCAGGAGTTAGTCACATGGCTTCATCTGCCATGTGGATCAGCGATTGGAGTCGAGCATATTTACTGTTTCCCTACTAAAACAGGAGTAGTTTGGAGGATGGTTTGGGGATTGGTCAGACAGCTCCTTGATGTCTGTGATTCTCATGCCCTTACCCTCCTGGGCACAAGATGGCTACCAGGACTCCAGGCATCACAGTGCCATATGTTTGCATCCTGGGCAGTACAAAGGGGCAAAGAAGCTTTCTTCCTGACTCTCCTTTTACTTAAGATGGGAAATTTTTTCCTGATGCCCAGCAGGCTTAATCCACGTGTTATTGGCTATGTCCACAGGCCATGCTATTAAAAGACTAAACTTGGGCACATTAAAATCGTAGAGGTTGTTTGTGCAAAAGCAGTTCATGGATCAGGCAGTGGTGTCGCAGGCCTTGGGATCCATTAGCGAAAGGCAGTGGGGCCCAAGTTCTCTGCGTGTCCACTCTCCGCTCTCCAGATGCAGCTTTCAGAGTTAAGAGGACAGCATTGAGGGCAGGGCCAAGGGACCTCTACTCAGTGAACACAATGCCTGGCTCATGTGGTGGTGCCCAGGGAGTGAGTGGACACCAGGCACCGGGTGACCCTGTGCAGAGTGCTGTATACGAGTGATCTGTTGTTGCATAGCAACCTCCCCAAACCTAATAGCTTCCAACAGCAGAGCCATGAGACCTTTGGAGTCTGTGGGTGCACATTCAGGTGGGGCTTGCTCAGGGCGTCCTGGCTCCAGGTGACAGGAAGTGGCTGCCTGGGTGGCAAGTGGGGCCCTGGGTCCACTTCCTAGCTTGTGCACAAGGAGCCCTGGTTCCTTGCTGGCTGCTGTCTGGAGGCCTCAGGCCTCTCCCTGTGACAAGGACAGCTGGTGTCCCCAGAGGAGTGAGCCATGAGAGAAGGTGAGCGTGACCCCACTGGCCAGTCTTAGAGGTGGACACTGCTATACACCTGTGCTTGTTAGGAATGAGTCCCCAACTCGGCCTCACCTGCCAGGGAGAAGCAGTAATTCGTAGGTGTCCTTGAAGCACCACACCCTGGATCCCAGGCCCAAACCCCACTGGGGCTGTCAGAGCCGAGCTCTGTCCAGGCACACCCAGACCCTGTCCTCTGCTCCTGCCCCAGCCCGGATGGACCCCTAGGACAGTGCCAGAACCCATGGTAAATTGCCTGCTATGAGTGCTTTACCACACTAAGTTAAAAGTTGAGGGCATGGTGGTACAGTCCTGTAATCCTCAGGAGGCTGAGGCAGGAGGAGCACTTTGAGTTCAAGGCCAGCCTGAACTACATAGCGAGATCCTGTTTCAGAAAACTTGGACCCCTCAGGTCTGCCAGCCTGTGTGACCTACTGGGCCGGGAGGGCACCCCATCCGGCCCACTGGGGCAGGTGGCGCGTGGGCAAGGGCGAGGGCCACCTTCCGGCACCAGCCAGCCCCACTGTCTCTGCAGAAGGACACGGGTTCCTCTACGAGACGTTCGGGGTCCGGCCACGCTTCTCTTGGCACGTGGACCCATTCGGTGCCTCTGCCACAACGCCCACGCTGTTCGCCCTGGCGGGCTTCGACGCCCATCTCACCTCCCGCGTTGACTACGACCTCAAGGACGCCATGCAGGAGGCCCAGGTGCGTGGGCACTGGCCGCTCCTCCCCTCCCCGCCTGGGTGCCGTCGGGTGGGAGGACAGCATGGCTCTCGAGGCCCAGCCTCCCGCCCCCTGTCTCCGCGAACCCCAAGCGGCCCCGAAAGTGGGCTCCATTTGCAGGGGCAGCATAGTGGAGTCCACGCCTGGGACAACAGACGCCGAGCGTCCCACGCTCCGAGGCCATGTCCTGCTCCTTCCGAAGGCGGCAGCGAGGCGGTCACTTAGGTGACCGCTCCCTCTGAGTCGCTCCCCATCATAAGGGCGCCAGCCCCTCTGCAGGAGGACCGTCTTAGTGGCCTCCTGCTGGCTCGCTCACCTCTGTGAAGACCCAGCTAGCAAAGCCAGTCACAGCCTCAGGAATGGGGGTCTTTTCCATAAACGAGGCAGAATTAGAATTCTTTTTTTTTTGGTACCAGGGATCAAACTCAGGCCTTGAGCTTGCAAGGCAGGTGCTGGGACGACTGAGCTAAATCCTCAGCCCCAGAATTAGAATTCTACCCACTTCGCAGAGTGGGAGACTGAAGCCCAAAGCCTAAAGTGTCCCTTTCCAGGCCCATTAGAGGGCAGCAGTGGGATGGCCCGGAGTGACCAGGCAGTGGCTTGGAGCACCTGTGAACGCAGCACACTTCCCGTCTGGCTCATTTCACCTGCAGATGGCCCTCCGGGCGCTGGGTGTGGCTCTTCCCATTTTTCATGCCAAAAGCAAGTCCAAGGGATTAAGGACTAGTGCAAGGTCTCCCCGGCCAGGACATAACAGTAACCCCAAGCACGTTCTACCCATCACAACTGTTCAAAAATAGATGGCAGATTTGGTGAGAGGTGATGAGCTCCCCGTGCAGAGGAGCATTCAAGCACAGTGAGCTTTCCTGGCAGAGAGGCCTGACTGAGGAGTGGGTGGGGTGAACATGCAGCCCTGGGAAGCAGTGCCATGACTACATGTGGCTTTGGGGACACTGAGGGAGCTGAGGGAGGAAGCAGCAGAGAAGTCTTGTCCTTGAACCCTGGAGAGGGCTGAGGGGAGGATGGGCAGGCCAGGGCGTGGTGGACTGGAGGGGAAGCCCAGGCGGGCATCCGCCTGGCTCCAGCCTCACTCTGCCCCCTCTGGGTCTGCAGGGCCTGCAGTTCGTGTGGCGCGGGTCCCCATCCCTGGCTGCGCAGCGGGAGATCTTCACCCACGTCATGGACCAGTTCAGCTACTGCACGCCCTCCCACGTGCCCTTCTCCAACAGGTGCACTCTGCTCGGCGGCCCCGCCTCCCCCCATGCAGTCCACGAGGAGCCAGGGCCCAGAACCTGTTAGTGACTGGCGCAGGGCCCCCAGCTGGCAAATGGGGGTCTGGGGATGGAGGCGCCAGCTCTGGTCACTCCAGATAGCTTCCTGCCGTGAGACCCTGTCCCGACGTAGGGTAATTGTTTCTGTTTTTGTTTTGTTTTGAGGCAGGGTCTCCCTACATAGCTCAGGCTGGCCTTGAACTCCCTGCGATCCTCCTGCCTCGGGCTCCCAAGTGCTGGGATTACAGGTGTGCGCCACCCCATGAGGCCCAACATAGGGTTATTTAAAGGATGAGGATTTACCCGGCATTCCCAAGATCATCCCCCTGGCCGGCTCTGGGGCGCTCAGCCATCCCCATCCCCAGGGTGAGGAAACCAGCAAAGTGCCTATCACTGCTCTCCCGCCCCGGGCAGGGCCAGCGCGAGAGACCTGGGCCTGGTGCCCCGCAAGGCTGGAGTGCGGCAGGGCAGACGCTGCTGTGTGTGGCCAGAACCCCAGGCCACACAGTGGAGAGGCAGCCCCAGTGCCCGTGCCTGGCTTGCCTTCCCGAGTCACCCCAAAAACCCAGGGGCAGCCCCTCCAGGAGGCCCTCAGAGCACCCTGTCCTACGGAAAGAGAAACTGAGGCACAGCAGCCCGCCCAGGGTCCCGCGGCTGGTGAGCAGGGAGCCAGTGTTTGGTTCCAGCTGTCGTCCCAAAGCCTCACTTCCGGCCGCACTGGGCTGGGGTCTCTGGAGTCGCTTGGCTCTGGGTTCAAATCCAGCTCGGAGAAGAGTGGGCCGGGGGGTGGGCGGAGAGGGGCACCAGGCAGGGACTCAGCCGCCCTGCCCCTTGTCAGGCCTGCTGTGTGCTGGCCACTATCTCCAGCTCCCTCCACACAATATTTCCCTTCCATCCCCGTGATCACCTGCCAGGCAGTTCTTCCCCGAGAGACAGGGTGCGCTGTGGCCGTGCAGGAAGTGGCCCAGGGCCGAGGGCTCTGGGCAGGGACTCAGACCCCCGAGGCCTGTTCTTGGGGTCCAGGGTGTCTTGAGCCATTTGTCCTGCAGCAAAGCGGGAATCTGTTAGCACTGAGCCTGTCTTTGTCTAGAACTCTTGATTTGTTGATCATTGATTTTTGTGTTTATTTTGGTTCTTTTTAAAAACATTGCATTAAAATATTATTTGTCGAGTGAGTGACATGCATGCCTGTAGTCCTGGAACTGGGAAGCTGAGGCGGGAGAGGCAGGTAGGTAGGCAGATGATACACAGACAGAGAAACAGATGGACAGACGGACTATTTATCTTGACCTTTGAGATTTGTGGTGCCCCTTGAATTTTGTTCAGGTGAGTGCCCCAGCCAGCTCGCTCCTGAGACCAGCAGGGACCCACAGGAGCAGGGCCGTCGTGGTAGGGACCAGGGGCTGCTGGCTCCGGGTGGCCCCTAACACAACCTAGGTGTGGGGTGCTGCGATCCCTGGTAAGCCAGGGTGCTAAGTTTGAAGCCTTCCTGCGCCAAGCCCTTGCCTTCTCCCTCCACCTCCTGCCCTGCAGGTCCGGCTTCTACTGGAACGGTGTGGCCGTCTTCCCAGAGCCACCCCCAGATGGGGTGTACCCCAACATGAGTGAGCCAGTCACCCCAGCCAACATCGACCTCTATGCCCAGGCCCTGGTGGCCAACGTGAAGCAGCGGGCCACCTGGTTTCGGACGCCCCACGTGCTCTGGCCCTGGGTAAGCGGTCTCCACCCTGCACCCCCAGCTCATGGGCACTCACCCGGCCCTGGCACCTCTGTCTCCCCTGCCAGCCCCAGCCTTGCCCGCCAGCCTCAGGCTCCCTTCGTGCCCTCTGCATGCTGTTTCCTTGTCTGTAAAACAGAACAGTGCCACACCTGCCGCCTAGGCTGGAGAAAGAGCTCCGGCAGTGGGCAGTGCCAGGCACGTCATCGAGGGTCATGTCCAGCCCTGCTGAGCACCCAGGTCCTGGCACTATTCTCCGGGATGTGCTTGTCCATGTGGTTTGACCCCCGGCCCTAGGAGGCCAACATGGCTTGTGTCCCGTTTTGCACCTGAGGGAACTGAGGCTCAGAGAAGTCAGGGAATCGTCCTGAGGCCACACAGCCAGCCACTTAGGGTGGCTAAGAAGGATTGGGATTTGTGTGGTGGCCATGTCAGGTGGCCCTGCAGCCTGTCCTCCCACTCAGGACTGACTGAGAAGGTGCTCGAAGTCATTAAGTGTGAGCCATGGCTGTCATCATCCTTATGTCACCATGTGTGCAGGTCCACGCCTGTGATCTCAGCCCTTGGGGTCTGAGGCAGGAGGATCGCTGCAAGTTCAAGGCCAGGATGGGCTACACCATGAGTTCAAGGCCAACATGGACTACATAGCAAGACCTTGTCTCAAAAAACAGGGGCCGGGGATGTAGCTCAGTGGCACCGCACCTGCCTCGCAAGCACAAGGTCCTTAGTTCGATCCTCGGTACCAAAAACAAACAAACAAACAGTTACCATATTATTACAGTTAGCAGATGGATGAGCAGTCATCCTTGCCCTGAGAGACGCCCAGGGGTGTCAGCTGGGGGAGCCCTTATTGGCGGGGCTGGGTGGGGACTCATGCTGGCCCATGTCCCCCTGCAGGGGTGTGACAAGCAGTTCTTCAACGCCTCGGTGCAGTTCGCCAACATGGACCCGCTGCTGGACCACATCAACAGCCACGCTGCCCAGCTCGGCGTGATGGTGGAGTATGCCACGCTGGGCGACTACTTCCGCGCCCTGCACGAGTTCAACGCCACCTGGGGAGTCCGGGACCACCACGACTTCCTGCCCTATGCCTCAGGTACAGCCTCGGGATCGGGTGGTGAGACAGCGCCTGAGCGCTCCTCTGCACCCACACCCAGGGCCTTCTTGGCCCCGAGGTGGGGCAGGGGCTCCCTGGTCCCCCACTGTCCCAGGCCTCACTGCTTGTCATTGTTGGGCCCTCCTCTCCCCTGCCTCGGCTGCGTCCTCAGGCCTGGCACTGGGCTGGCTGCAGACAGCACAGCCTGAGAGCCCTTCCCTGTGTGAGGCATGCTGGTGACCTTCCTGGGCTCTGTCCTGAGGGTTGTCGTGGACATTAAATGGAACAGGAAAAGCTCAGCCCACTGCAGAGGACAGAGGAAGGGCCCAGCACGCAGAGCATTGATATGTCACCCGTGGGCCCTGGTGCCAGCCCCGATGTGGCGGCCCACTCCCTGCTCTCAAAGCTGCCTCACGCCCTGTGGGCATCGAGGGCACGGGGCATCAGCCCCCGCTCCGGGCCTGCCCACCTCTGGGCACCTCTGCCGATGGGCCTGGCCCTCTTGCTCCTCCGCCCTCCTCCCTACTCCGGGCCTGCCTGGGGCTGTCACATCACAGCCCCC